CGGCATGCCACTCTGCGAGACACGCCTCGTGGAAGGCGCAGCCGCAGCCCAAACACGGCGGGTACAGTGCGTCGACGGGCTCGCGGCAGTATACGCAGAGAAGCTGGTACTGCGGGCGGCGACAGCGATCACACGCACCGACGGCGCCGCCGGAGCGAGTCGCGGAAGCGGAAGTATATTTCAGAGGCTCGAGCTGGGTCTCGTGGACGCGGCATACGCCGGTAACGTCGAGACCGCGGCCGGAGGCAACGAGAGCTTGGAGCTGCTCCTTCTTTCCGAGGAGGATAGGAGAGGTGTTATGCGGTTGCTGCTGGTGATGCTGAGCCTGATGGCTCTGGTGCTGCTGGTCGTGATGATGCTGCTGTATTGTTGTCGAAGTATCGGCAATACTGTAGGTGTCGTGGAAATCGTCAATCGAGCCAGTTCCCCCCTGGCTTTGCTGAAGCACGTTGAACTTCATGATCTCCAGGCGGGCCAGAGGCTGGTTCCACATTTGTAGAATCTCAGCGTAGACATAGCGATACGTGGCGTACATGTCAGCGCGGCTCGCCTCTAGAAGCGGCGTGGTCATCCATCCGTCGTCATCGAAGATTGTCTGATCCTCCATATGGACAGACACTCCAATAGGTACCATAGAGAATAGATCGTCGCGATATACCTCATCGTCTGAGAGAGAGGTGCGAGCCGTGCCCGAGTCGCCCATGATGGTGGAGCCTCCCCAAGTGACAGCACCGGGTGCACTGGGGGCGAGGGTACTCAAAATAGTCTCCGCTGGACTCGGTCTCTTACGACCATGGTTAGGCGGTGATGATGCTGCGGTCGTTGTCCCCGTCGCAACACCGCTGAAGGGCCGAGGAAAGTTGATAGCGAAGCTCGACGTCAGGCCTGAGTTGGCTCTTGACAGCGTCCTTCCACTTGGCGACGTGGAGAGACTTGGCGTTTGATCCCCCTCCCCAAGATATTCCTTACCCCTTGGTGGCGGTGTCTCGCCGCACGAGTAAGAGTTTGAGCCTGGGTCCCCAGTCCAAAGCATTTCTTCAGCAGAACCTTGTGACCCAGAGTATCGGATCGGTGTATGCAATGTTCTAGGAGTGGTGATAGCTGAATTTGTCTGACTCCTGGTGTTGTAAGTCCAAAGAGACGCATCTGTGGGGAAGTAATCGAGTGAAAATGCTGGAGTCTTCATCGGCAGCGGCGTGTCTGGCTGCGTGAGGTGCGATTCGGCGTAGGCAACACTGTCTTCGGTGAATGCTTCACTAAAGATACAAGACAACATAGCTAGCATCTGGATATCCGCAGTCTTCTCAAAGTAATCAAAGAGATCGCTGATGAAATCCCTCGCCAGCGGATGATTGCCCCACTTCACTCTCCCGTTGAAATCAGCAGTGTCTTTGCCATTAATCGTCTTGGTCACCGGCGAATCCTCGTGACGGAATCGCGCAAGAGCGTCCCTAGCAATGATCAGAATGGAGTTTTGGTGGCGATCCATGTTTGACAATTCCAGTGGGATATCTCGGCGGAGAATCAGTGAGAGGTAGCGCCAGACATCCACGAGATCTTGGCAGCCATGCTTCTCTGCGACCTGAGCATTGTGCTCACAGACCTCAGCACCATCCCCAAATATAGCATAGTCTTCGGCGAATTCTTTCTTTGCAGGGAGAATATCCGATAAGTCGTGGAGGGAGACGACGTTCTTCGATTTTGCGCCTGGTCGCCTTCTAAGCGATCCTGTGCCGGTTCCGGTTCCAACTCCCGTGCCGCCACCGCTTGATCGAACAGAGCGATTGTCACTCCAAGTTCGCTTGAAACGATGTCGGGGCTGATACCATAGGCTCATTTTGTTGATAGATGTTGATTCCGAGTCACTCGAAGAGGATGAACCGGTGGAGACATCAGAGTCGGACTGCTCGTCTGTAGCGGACATCTCGTCGTTACCATATCGCTTTCCAGGCGGAGAATCATGCGCAAGACGGCCGAAACCGGCGAATACAGGCTCCCCTTTTGACCTCTCACGCATGGGTTCTGCCGGCGTGAATAGCAATGCCCTTGCCTTTTCTTCCTTGGTTGGGAAGAAGCACACCAGCCTCCCGTCGTTGGAAAACCGGGCACCGCAGAACCGTGGCAAGGGCGGAATTGTGGGCCTGTTATTCGGGGCCAAGGTGCTTTCGGCCTCTGCGTTCGGAGGCAATTCTTGAGACATGGATGCTGAACCGCCGGCCGGAATATCGTTCTCGTCTTCGCTAGAGCTCTCGGAGCCAAGTCCATCTAAAGGATCGTCAAGATCCTTCACATTTTTGAAGAAATTCGTGCTCGCCGCCAGGTCGATCTCGCCTAACAGATAAGAGAACGCCACATCCAAGCAGTTCTGTTTTCGCTCCAGAAATTGTTGGCAGAGCTCATGAATTTCGTGCTCGATCTTTCTATGCGTCTTGTCCGACATGAAACCAGTCTTCTCAATGTAAAATCGTGGTGCTTTGGCCTTAGGATAATTAGATGGTATGTCGACTGTAACTTTGATGAAGATGGGGTCGCCGTTGGCGCCCCACGGGCCGTTGAGAGATGCATTGAGCGTCAAGTTATCCATGTCAATATGCTCCCACTTGACCTTTGGCAGCTGCATGCTGATGCGGAGGAACTCCTCTTGAATAGTCTCTGGTTCTCCCCACTTGTCGTCGTCCATGTATCCTGGGCTGAACATGCTGGAGTCCTTTGAATCTGCCCTTCTAGGGCTATCTGTAGATGTCTTACGCTTGTTCATCATGATTCCCTTCATCCAGCCGATATGTGCCTGGCTACGATCCATCTCTCTGGAGGTGCTTTTGGCTTTCATTGATGAGCCCTTCCAAGCCGCACCAAGTTTAGAGTAGGTTGTCGGCCCAGACCGCATACCCATAGTCAGGGCACTCTGACGGTATTGCGCGCTGTTGCGGGGATCGCTCATTGTGGCACTCCTCCTGTCTCGGCTGACTGTATCCTCAACCGTTCGGAAAGTTTTGTAGGCAGCGCCTTTGCGTGTGAGAACGACATTCTTGTTGGCCGCCATCCCCTTGACATATCCTACCGACTCGAGAATAGACGGGTCGACTTGCTGCAGGCGCAGCTCATTGTCCTCTCCCCAAGAGACGAGCTGGAAGTCTCTGTTATCTAGCGCATCTTCGGTGATGCTCCCTCTACTTCTCCACAAGAACTCCTTGGCCTTGTGATTGCCGTGGCCAGGGAAAACCGCTACTGGCTCAGTCGGCCCTTCCTCAGGGTCCTTGGGAGGTGTTCGCCAGTCGTACAGGTACAGGTCGCCTGGTTCGTTCTGAGGCATCGCAAGGAGCCCCTGGCCAAAAGGGGTATGACGAGCGCGCCACACCGGGAACTCGGTACGTATGACGCGATCCGGGACATCTTGATCACTCCCATAGTCCCAAAACTTAATGTGCTTATCCAAAGAACAAGTGACAATCTTGGTAGACGTGGTCCGATTCCAATCAATCCCATAGATCTTTGAGGTGTGTGCGCCGATTGATTTCAGGGGCTCACTTGGTCGTCTCTCGTCCCAAATGTGCAACCACCTGTCGTGAGATGAAGCTAGAATGTGCGGGTCCTGACGGTTGTACTTGACTTGCGTGGCGCCGGCAAACCAATCGCAGAAAGTAAGGACAGGCTGTCTCGGGCGTCTGAGATCCCAGCAGTGGACGTAACCATCGACGGCGCACGAAGCGAGCTGGTCGGGGTGGTGGGCGGACCAGTTGATGTCGGTGATGGCTCTGCTGTGGCCTTGGAGTGAATGCTCAATGGCCCCCGATGTCGAGTCATCTCTCAAGTTGAGGTTCCAGACAAGCGCGCGATGGTTGGCAGTGGAGACGACCCAGTAGTCGCGAACTGCAAAGGGCGACCATTGGACGTCTGTGACAAGCCAAGGGGAACCATGGCTACTGAGGCGGCGAGGAGGATTATACGGTGAGTCCAAGTCAATGATGGATAAACCCTCGGGTCTGATGGATGCGTCAGCTGGGGACTAGTAGCTCGGAAGCCTCACGATAAGTTCACTCACGATGCTAATGCAACATCCCTCTGAGAAGGAGCTATCGTCGCCGATCCTACTAGACCGGCGACGTGAATCGTGCCGTCCGCATCAAAGCTCTCGCTGTCGAAGGCTGACTTGATCGGCTTCCCCTTCTTCGGCGCATCAAGCTGATCGAAGTGCGGCATGATGGCGGTTTTGGCTCAGATGAGAGAGATGCCTCAGAAAGGCATCTGTAGGCACTATGTCTTTGCCATGATCCGATGGCACGCGACAATGAGAGAGTCTTTCCACAGTCTAGACTGCTCTGATAGTTGCTATTTGACTGATGAGATGTCCTGATTGGATGAAGTATCGCAACTTGATATTGAGGGTCTTTAGTTGAGGTTCAGAGGCCGATGCACGCGACGAGATCAGGTGCATCCATCGCTGAGCATCCTGGGCGGACGCTTGTGGATGGACGGGATGACAGTCGGGGACCCACAATCGCGATGATGTACCTTCGTGCAGCAGGTCTGCAGTTGTGTACTTACTTCCCGCCAGCACCTCTAGGCCAATGATAGCTCGCCAATACCATCACCAGTCTCCACCCTTTTACTGTCATCGGGACAGCGTCGAGCCAGGCCTGTTGTGTGTCATGCTTCTGGTCCCTCCCGCGGGGCAATCCCAAGCAAGGCTTTCCCAAGCACATGCCCACCATACCCAAAGGTTGCCTTTCGAAACACTCCACCAGTTCCGCCTACTCGTCACCTTCGTCGCCGCCGCTCCAAACCGATATCCCGAGCATCCGATTGCGATTTCGTTTGCGACTTTTTCCCCTTCTTCGGCGAGTCGAAATCCAGGAAGCTCCATTTGATTCACCACTCACTTAACCCCGCCATCGATCCATCAGCTCCTTGGCCTTGAACTTCGGTTTCTAGAGGAAGCTCAGACACCATTCCTGTCCTCCCTCACCCTTGAACAATCTCCAGAGCGTTTGTCGCCCAGCATGGCTTTGCCTAAGCGTATTGTCAAGGAGACGGAGCGTCTCATGGCTGAGCCGTAGGTTTCCTGCCTAGCTAGCAACATCTCGATGTTCTGCTAACAAAGACCGCCTCAAAGGGTACCCGGAATCAGTGCCGTCCCTCACGAGGACAACCTCCGCTACTTTGATGTCGAAATTCACGGACCTACGCAATCTCCGTATGAAGGTGCGCAATATATTCACGGAAACTTGACTGGAAAGAACTAATAGGTATTACAGGCGGTGTCTTCAAGCTCGAGCTCTTCCTTCCCGACGACTACCCCATGACTCCCCCCAAGATTCGCTTCCTCACCAAGATCTTCCACCCCAATGTCGACAAGCTGGGCCGCATCTGCCTCGATGTTCTGAAGAGTGAGTAGCGGTCCGTGAACAATGGAGTTTTGGCGCAGGATGGCTGACAAAGAAACCTTCGTTTAGACAACTGGTCCCCTGCCCTTCAGATCCGCACTATTCTTCTGTCAATCCAGGCCCTCCTCGGCGCCCCCAACCCCGATGACCCCCTCGCCGCCGACGTCGCGAAGAGCTGGAAGGAGGACGAGCAGGCCGCCATCGCGACGGCCAAAGAGTGGACCACGAAATTCGCTGTGCCCAAATAGAGGAGGAAACACTGGAGAACCGGGAGGCTATGCTGCGCTTTGGAGGAAAAGGCAGACGACGGCGCGTGGATGAACAGCTACGGCAGAAGCCAATGCAAACACATTTTCCCTAGACCGAGTTTTAGGCGGATGCTGCAAAGACGACACAGCCCTCCTGCTGTCTTTGACTTTGTAGAACGGGGGCTGATTTGGACGTTTCAGGACCTGGAGTTGCAATCTTGAGATATGGCATTGCGGTCAGCTTTTCTGGTTTCACGGGAGGACCCATGCATTATGCGCTTACGACTTTCCACAATGAGAAGGATTTCTTTCATTGCATGGTGCACTTGTGAGATTAGTGTGCGTGATCTGACTCCAGGCCGTAGCAACCCGATTGGCTATAAGTCTTGACGAAGACGATATATCCTCTTAGCCGCACGTCGACAAGATCGGGTGACGAAGCACTGCTCTTCTTCGGACTGAAAGACAGAATGATCAAGCGATGCTTCAAGTACGACCTGCGACCGTGAATTCTCAAGTCGCGTCGATGGTTTAGTGGTAAAATTCTCCGTTGCCATCCAGCAGCGTCGGGGAGCCGGGGGTTCGATTCCCCCTCGACGCAACTTCTTTTGCCCGGCTCGCCTCCGACCAGTGGAGACTGTGTTTTTGTATTACATAGCTCTCTAAGTTAGTCAGGTATGGCGGGGAAGTGGTTAGGAAATAAATCTTGTCAGCAGGGTTCTATTTACTCTTCGTCCAACGAACGTGTGGGTATTCTATCTACCTATCCATCAGATCATGCTGATTTCCTTGTATCTCGATCGGTGCCGCTCAAAGGTGAAGTCACTGGAATAGATGTCGAGATCAGAGAGCTCAATGTCTCCAACATAGCGAAATATTGGAGGTTGGGAATCCTCCTGGTCAGTCTTCGACACAGGCGTGACTTCGCGGAGAATGAAAGGAACAGAAGCACCTTCAGCCAGCCAGATCTGGTCATTCGGTACTGAGGAGGGGGAACCCAGTCCAAAACTCCCTCTAGATGTGTGATAGAAGCACTCGTTCTCAATCTCTTCCCAGACCTTATTATCTACATGTAATGGGCAGGGACCCAGCTTGGGGGCCCTATCTAAAGGGAAGGGACTTAGACGAGAGGTGCTATTCCGACTTTCGAATAGTTCAACCCACTCATAGATCTCGTTCTGGATCAATACTCCCACTATGGACCCGTTGAGTCGTTTGTGCACAAATTCTCGCCGTCCCGGAACGTAATACCCGACGGTTCGGTATGTGTGACAGTGATCAGGCGCCATGGGCTGCAAGTGCAAGTTGTATAATTCCAAACATTCGTTGAGAACTGCCGCTGCCAACCTGTCCCATATGTTAAGTTGAGGGCGACACAGAGATTCGAATGGTCTGGTCCGAAAGAAGCTAATCATCGCCAACGCCATCTCGTAGCTAGACTCTGGAGTGAAGAGGTCGTGAGCTTTATCCATCGTAGTACCCATCCTCACACCGTACAAAACAAGTTTGTGTCCAACGACACATGGCCTCCTAAGTTGGCAACGCCATATCATTCTCTCGTGCTCCTCTAAAACATCGAGGCTTCCTTCGGTCTTAGTTGACATGTCGAATCGCTTGTGGCGATTTATCTTCGTCAAATTTGGTACTGAATAATCAGGTACCCAGGATGGTAATTTAGTGTTCCGGCGTGATTTCTCCTTCCCGATCTGTCTGAGTTCCGAGAGTAAGGGAAGCCGTTGGAGAAAGTGGGCTGCAACAGATGTGAAGACGTCCTCCACACTCCGGTCGTAGTCTGGAACAATGGGGCTGGGAAAGCCTTGGGGGAGAAGCATCGACAGCATACCCAAACACCCGTGGATATGATCGCGAACGTCTCCAAATTGGAAAGAGCGGAGAGTGGATATGATAAAGCTGGCGCATGCGAGCCATGGGGACTCCGACCGTTTATTCCAGCCTCCGATTTTCGTGTAATACACAAATTCGGCTAAAAGGGGGCGGACTCCGTTGATCTTGTGTAGGCCACCTCCAATGCCAAGATGCCTACTGCCCAGACTTCGCGGCTTGTTTAGGAACTGAATCTCGGAAAATAGTTTCACATGTTCGAAAGACCGTTCGATGTGTGTTTCCAGGGAGTGGCTCCATCGAGACTCATGGAGAAACTGCACGAATGCCCCAAGGCGCTTCCAATTCAAGACAACTTTTCCACACATGATATGGGTTTGAGCTGGATCTGCCAAAGCAGCTTCCTGAACAACCCAACCGCGATCGAACCAACGGTTTTCCTTGAGGAACTTTGCAAGAATGAACCACGACGTTCCCCATCTGGAACATGTGTCGGGCCCCAAAAGATCGAGAACTTCAGGTTTGCTGCAGTAAGGGTCCTTGTATAATTGAGTCCTCACAGACTCCGGCTTCCTCAGCGCCTGAGATAGACGAGGGATGAACTTATCGTGAATCCACTGGACCTCTGGATCAGGCTCCGATAGCCCCAGCCACACAAGAACATTCTGTGCGGCACTGTAGATGCGGTGCATAAGGAGCACTTGATGTTTCTTCTCCTCGTTGTTAGCCTGGTCGATTCAGAACGCGTCTATCCATAGTGGCATTGTTTCCAGCGCAGACTTGACTTTGGGCGGACACTTTGGAGTCGTGGAGGAAGGTTCATCCGCACCATCCTTTGGTGGGCATCGGAACTCAAGAATGGTACGAAGGAATTGAATAGATTCTCAGATATTTCTATCGATCTGCCGTCGCAGGCTATCTCAAACGTCCTTCCTGGCCCTGGCTCCTGTGTCTGTTCAGAGTTGCCATACTTGGGTAGCTGCCAAGTATAAGACAGCGCGGCAAAGATCTGTTCATCATCCAAGCTGACTTCCTTCAGCGAGAGGCATAGTCCATGAGGATGATTGTCGCCTCGCGAGATGCTGAGGAGGCGTATGGAGTCGATTGTTGAAAGAGCTTGGTACTGGTAGTCCGCCCGTGACGCCGTCATAGTTCGAAGATGATGCAATAGAGCAGAAGAGGTTGGATCAATTGGTGTAAGCACTAGACATCTGGTCACATGTTTTTCTACTTGTTATCAGAATCTCTGCACCGCCTCGTGATTGAAACGAGGCGGGAGTTGATCGTCTTAATGATATTGTAGGGTATCTATTCTGCAATCTAGCGTTGTTACACGCTCAATCCATGATCCCCTCTGCCAGTTCGCCCAATATATTTTCAAGTCATCTCCCAACTACATTCGCATGAGCTTCTTACGTGGCCATCTAAATGCCCCGTAGAAAGCTTCTCCGTCTTTTGCCTAGATCCACCTTCATTGTTTCTCCTATTTCTCTTGTCTCTGATCTCGCTGGCAGCAAACGCCACAAGAACCAGAAGAGCAGTTGCGAGCACAATCCCACTCACAACGCAGTATGCCATATACGAATGAAGTTCCTGACGCCTTTCCACAGCTTGAAGACGTTTCAAAATCTCACTCTGGTCTGTAGGCGGCTTATAAATCTCCACCACCCGATCCGTCCATCGGTTGATTGCATATTCTCTGGGGTTGTCGAGGATCACAGCAACATGCGTGAATAGACTTCTGAAACCCCTAAAGGATGATGCAGATGACTTGGAGGTGGTCGGCGATGTTGCTTGTTGTCCGGTTTTCCTCGTGGGTGCCTCATACCGGTAGGCCATCTTGGTCTTTCTTGAACCCTTTATGAAGCCTTGAAATGGGTTGTCCTGGTGGGGGCTTCCGAATCTGCTTTGGTTGTCACTAATGGAGGACTTGAGGATATCTTGTGCTGATGAGGTAGGGGTTGTGAGGGACTGGGTGGCGTTCATTGGGCGGCGGTTGAGTAGGTCTAGAGTTTGTGCGGTTCTGGATTGAGCCTGGAGTTGAGGCAAGATCATTCTGCTAGTAGCCAGGTGGCTGGAAAGCCGCGGTGTTGCTTGTAGGATGGTGTTGAACATGGTGTTGATCGTTGATGGTGCTAGCCTTTGAAGATATTGACGGTTAAAGATGCGGGTGTAGCTTGGGATTGATATCTTCAGTAGCATTACTCACACGATATAAACTATGAATTCATTTGAAGGCGAAAGGTTCCCCTTCTAAACCACCAGACAAGACCATTCGGAGATAGGTCGTCGAGTCCCGCTTCCGCTCCCGCCTTCTTCCCGTTTCCATGACATCCGTATCTTTGGTAGGATTGACAAGGTCCTCGACTTCTCTTCATCGCCCTTCCATGTATAGATGGATCAAAACCTCAGGTAACACTGCGAGACTTTATGGGAGCCACGAAATCACACTCGTTCACACAGAACTAGAAACAGAGCAAAATCATATCCGTACAGTTTGTGAGACAAAGTTTCACTACATGATACGGTAGAAATCTAAATAGCGGCAAAATTGAGTCACATTAAAGGGATGACTCTCGTGATATCAAGGTATACCAAAAAACCTTAACGACTATCTCAATAACCTCAGACTCATGCCAACTCCGTTACATACTTTAACATCCTCACGACCGCAAAATCTTTCCTCGCAAGTAACATATCAGACATCATACTCGACAAGCTCAACCACAGCTCGAACAAAACCGAACCAAAACAATAATCACTATCACATACCAACCGCAACAATGGCTTCTCGAAGCCTCTTTCACACTCTCCGGAGGCAACTCCCTGGAACAATCACAAGACCATCATCCTTCACAACCACAACCACAGCACTACCACAGAACCGTCTCTTCTCACACACATCAACTCTCCGCGCCAAGGTCGTACATCCAGACATCGACAGGTACATCCGCTGCAGCCTCCGCGACGGTCCCTCGCACACATGGCGACCAAAACCACTCTTCTCGCTCGCGCACCAGTGTCCGTGGCCAAAGATCATACCGACAACAGCAGCATCCGCGAGTTTCACATCAGCCTTCCAATCTACATTGTCACAGCGAAGAGCATCCTCATCATCAACAACAACAACGTCCCTCGACGCAAAAAAGCTCAAAGACGAGGAAGACAAGAAGGAGCTCTCCCGACAGGTGCAACGGTATAAATCACAAGTAGATGCCCTTGACATTCTCACGGAGGAAGTGATAGACAGAGCGAATCATGTCAACAAGTGCACGGGAAATCTTTCTCGGTACCGAGAGCGTCAACGGCTCCTATCTCACCTCGAAGCCCTGAAGGTCATCGGGGAGCGTATGAAAAGTAGAGGCAAGGTCCTCATCGAACTGGAGAGAAGGTCCGAGGCCGGCGAGACCATATTCACTGGTGATGATGATGATGATGATGATGAATACGACGGCGGCGGAGGCAGCACCAAGGAGGATATTTCCAACTCTGTCACCCAACTTCTCTACGAAATTTGTCTCGGGATCGTGGCCTGTTTCATTTTGCGGCGTTTATGGGACATCTGGTTCCCCAGGAAGTCGAGTAAAGGTCCATGGACCGAGGAGGTGGGAGAAGGAGAATCGGCGTCGGATAGTAGCCCACCTCGCAACGCCGCAGAAGCAAAGTCAGAGGGTGGCGACGAGGAGCTCCCAGAGCTGCAATATCTCGCGAAGCCATAGACTCCAGTAGTACACCCATTAGCCAGTACCACATAGTAAAGAAAGATCACTTCTCCGCAAATACCGTAATCCAAACTTTTCAGAACATCTCTTCATCGAATTACTTTACACTACATTACTACTCATAAATGCCTACTACCTGACCCTACCCGTCATCCCAAAGCCGTCGACTCATAATAATAGGCCTCGCCGGATCCCACGGCCCATAAATCTCATTCTTGTACTTTTGCAACCCAATCAGCCACCAACTACACCCGCCCATGGCAATCGCGGAGATGAGCACGCTGACAACCATGCCCGCGACGGCGCCCTTCCAAGGCCAGCAGGATATCCCCATACCGGCACAACCACCAGCAGCAACACCACCGCCATTGTCACCCACGATAACCCCGACACCGGCACCCGCGCCAAGGACGAGAAATACTGTCATGGCATAGTGGTAGCCCCAGCTCCGGTGGCGCGCGTACCGCCGAAATACGGGGAAGAGCCCAAACACCTCGATGCTGAAGAGCGTGAGGCTGAAGACCTGGCCCGTGGACGGCAGCCGCGAAGCGAGTACCGTCGAGGCCATGAGTGCGGCGTTGGTGGACAGCGAGGCGGGGATGTTGACGCGGACGCCGCCCGAGTAGTCAAAGAAGAAGATGTTGATGGTCAGGAGCCAGAAGGACATGGCCCAGATACTGTCGCTCGAGGTCGACTTTGTGAGGGATTTGAGGATTGGAGAGAGCCCGAGAAGGGTCGAGTAGATGAGAATAGCGCTCTTGACGGTGCTGAGGCGCTGGTTGAGACGGCTGTTGTCGTCGCCGGGTAAGGGGAAGGAGGACCGCCGCGGGAGGGGCATGCTACTACCAACTTCTTGGCTGTAGCGGCGGTAGACGGACTGCGAGGTTGCTGACGTAGAAGAGATAAGGGAGCTCGCGGAGGCAGAATGCGAGTGCCGCGCCAGACGAGGCCGCTCGGCGCCAGCAGTACTAGACAGATTCGTCGCGGAGCTCGTGGCCGTCGTAGCCGTAGACGAAGCCGCGGCGGCACCACCATCGTCATGCAGCGGCGGGCTCCGCTGCCTCATGCTCCCCGTCCTCCGACTCGGCTCCAACCTCCGCCCCGCGGCCGTCGCGCTGCTGCTGCCGCCGCCCGCCAGACCCAGTTCCTTGCGCTCCTCGTCGGCCTCCCAGCGCTCCCACAACAGCCAACCCAGAAATGTCGCCATGCTGCTGAAGGACACAATGGACACGGGCGACACGCGCTCCTGGGATATGAGGACGAAGCAGACGATGAAGAGGATGACGGAGCAGACGTGCTGGACAATCACCGTCGAATCGGCGACGAGGGGCCAAAAGTCGTAGGGCTGCAGGCGCGGATTGCGCTGGAGGCTCTCGAGAAAGGTGTTTTGGTCCGTGTAGTTGTCCGGATAGCTCTGCTTCACCCACATGAGCTTCTTCCAGGTCCGCTTGCGACTTCTGCGGGAGCGGGAGCGGTGGCTTCCCGCGACGGCGGAGGCGGAGGCGGAGGCGGCATTGTGACGGAGGCGGGCACGGGCGGCGCGGTGGTCTGCGCCGAGGGAGGAGACATCGGGGAAGGAGGGCACGGGTCGTCGCGGCGGGGATGTTGCTAAGAAGGCATCTTCGGGGGCGAGGCGGGATCGGTCCTGGCGCTGCTGGTGGAAGTTTGTGGTGCTGTTGTTCGTGCTGCTGTTTGTGGTGCCGGTGCTGAGGGCCGTCGGGAGGGTGGAGGAGCGGGTGAGGGGCGGGGGGAAGGAGCCAAAGTCCGTTGGTGTTGTAGGGGACATGAGGCGCGGCTTGCCCTTGAGGGCCTCAATGTAAAGGAACGACAAGAGTACGAGGACTCAATGGGGCGTATTGGTGATGGCGGTTTGAGGCGCTTGACCGAGACCTTTCTCAGCCTCGCGATCGCGAATGCACTGAAGTCGGCGCAAGGCTGGAGACCAAGTTGATTGGAGCCGCGGAGAATTGCGCGCCAGGAAGGCAGTGGCAGTGGTGGCAGAGGAAGTGAAAGAAAGTGCCAAGGGGGGCCAGGCCACGCCAGGGGGGGCACTTTGGGAAGGAGTCAAGGACGACACAAAAAAAGGGTGCGTGCACGGACGGGGAAAGGACATTGGTGGGGAAGGTTGGCCGAGTCAGTCGATTTCGACAAGGGTGCGTCGCCCGGACCAAGTCGCTGGATTCGGTAACTTTAAAGGAAAGGAAAAATGCATACGAAAGATAGTTAGACTGATCGGTGGCCGAAAGAAGCGCCTTCCGCAGTCCAGCAAAGGAAAGGTATGTCTACTGCTGCGTCTGGATTCTGAATGCTGCATATGCTGCGCATTGCTATCGCTCCGAGATCATATCAAAAAGGAGGGTAGTAACTCTGGGAAAATATCCCGTCCGTCCAACCACAGTTGCTACCCCAAGCTTAATTCTTTCTTCTGTCCGAGTAGGCTATCTATAGTTCCGTACTGCGTCCGCACCTAGTAGAGTCTCGGAACCATCACCGAACTCACAAAGGTAAAGATTGTTATCCAAAGCATCGCCCGCAGTAGTCTAAGCTTCATGGATGCGTGGACAGATCGTGGATAGATCATGGGAAGGAATAGATGCATGCCTACTACAACCCTGCCACGGATTGCGTCTACATCCGCGTCGGCGTCCGCGTTCGCCTTACCCAGAAGCTAAAACCAAGTTAACCGTCTTCTTCATGACGCTGTCATGGACACGCAGCTCCCGTCATGAACCACTTGCGATCCGCGGCCCCTTTCTCGACACATGACAACCCAGTATTCGGAGACTTTCCCATCCTCCTGGAAACCCAAATACCACGGTAGTTTGCGCGTCCATGACCCATGGACCTCCAAAAAGGGAGCTGTCGTCGTTCCTAACTTTCCGTGGCGATGCAAGACATCAGGCATCACTGTTAGTAATGCATCAGAATACCTCCAGAATCGCGACCCGCGGCATCCCACGCCCCGGATTCTCAACACCACCACCATGGTCCAACACCAGTCCAACGACACCACACCTACTGTGCAGTAGGTAGTGACCTGACCACGAGGCTAGCGGTGCACTAGCATCCGTACGACAGGTGCCCGATTTCCGAGAGAAACGGGGCCTCTTTACGGTGTTCCACCTCGCCATCTTCTGCACCGCCTGCCTCTGCTCAAAGGGTACCACCGGCAACACCGTTCCCCGCCAAACCCTTGTGCCCGGGGGAATACGAAGAGCAATTCCAGAAGCATTTTGAAGCCGGGCAGTCTCATTTCTCTCTGCCTAGATGGCCCCGAATTTCTCTGCAGGGAGGCCCGCACCGGCACAAAGCTTGTTCGTTGCTTGTCCCCTGGCTGATTGGCTGTCTTACTGGGGAATCGACCCTCATGCTGCGTTCCTAAGGGCTGAATGGATAGGTATTCCCGTCCACCCATAGCCAGTCAATGGCGACATTGTCCTGCATCGCTTTGGTGGTTTAGTGGTCGTGTGCTCGTTGGCAATCCTTAGATCCATACGGATACAGGTAGGCTGTCACGCTGTCCATCGCCCGTCCCCCTTTTGTGCTGTTACCAATTTTCTGGGCCCCTTCCCGTGCCATGCGCCCCTCCACGTTGGCATGGTCGAGGTCCTGTGGTCCAGACTCTTCGGCGCGCCCTACAGGGACTAGACCGGAAATGTGGCAGGCTGCAGCGATGGCAGGCATGCCCTGTGTGCACTGTGAAGACTGAAAGTTCGCCTGGAAGGGACTGCTTATTTTGGAACTTTAGCGGGCCGACCGGAAGAGCTCCCACGCTGCCTTTTGCTGGGCGATGCTAGGTGGCTAGGCAGTGGGCGCTGCTCAGATCTGACTCTGGTCCAAGGGGCTCGAGTTACTGACGTTTCGGCGGTACTAGTGCGAATAGCCTCACCATCAGCTCGATGGGACGATTCTGGGTGAGTCGGGGCTGGCATCGACGATCCATTTTCCCCTTTCCTCCAAACCCAGGCACGAGAGCAACATGACATCAACAAGCGGGCGATTTGCGACAATTCGGCTCGACCTCCTTGGTTAAAAACGTTGCCTTCCTGTTGCAAGTCTTGCCGGACGGGCTTGGCAAAGCAAGAGGTATGCGGGTTCGGGGTCCATCAAAGTCTCATTCCCATGGCATCCCGTGCTTTTGCGTGCCCATGGACGGTGGGCTGGTCTGAGAGCATCTGTTGAAACCGTTTTGACGTTCAGACAACCTCACCATGGAGGGCAAGAAGAAGCGGGTTTCGCAGCTGCTGCCGATGTGGGCCTCGGTTGCAATGGAACGAAACAGTCCAAACTGTCGCAAAACTCCCCAGGAGGCAGGCTCCAACTTCCCAGGACGGGGATTTCATGTTTCTCCTTCGTCAATGCTTGCTCCGTTTGGTTGCGGTCACCCTGTGATTGTGACCCTGGCGACGAGCCGGCGATGTTCCCAAACAAGAGAGACAGCTCCGCGGTGTCTTCAGTCACCACATTGCAACCAAAATGGCGAATGTGCACACTATTTGATAGCGGCTGGCATAAGCTATGTCGGCATCTGCCGCGCCTGTGGTGTGGTGATTCCAAAAAAGAAAGTCCAAGCAATGGAACCAGAGCGCTAATCAGTGGATCCATGGCGTAGATCCATTGCTTGGGTTCGCCAGCTGCGATTTGCCTTTGGCGCCAATTCCCACCTGGCATTGGACAGAGAAACCGTCGCATTAGGCGTTGGCTGGTGTTGTCATGATGGTGTCTCTGGCGTTGGTAGAGTGTAAGTCATTTTGGAACTTTTGCCGTACCAGCCCCGGAGCAACTCGATGATTGCATGAACTGAGAAGACCATTGCTGACGGGTGAAGTGTTGCTGACTTGCTCCCTTCATTTCTTGGAAGAGGCAGTGTCTTGGCGCTGGTCGAATGGCCGTTGTGTGCGGCGTGCTGCGTGCATATCCGTGGCATAGGGCGCAGCTGGGTGCAATTTCGTCTGTACGGGGTCTGCAGCCACGGAAGCGCCAGGCATCGTGAGAAC